AAAAAATTCATATTACCAGAACACATTGGTATTGAAGGAACTAGATACTGTTCCGAAATATCACTTACTCGAACCGTCCTGACCGCGTAGCTCAGTTGGAAGAGCATTGGGCTAGTATTCCAAAGGTCGTAGGTTCGAATCCCACCGTGGCCGGGCATATTTTTCAAGCTCGCCCGGTGTGGATATGCACTCAGAGTAACTTCTAGTAATATGAATTTTTCCTGAGTACACAACACTAACACAGAAAAATTCTTATTACCAGAACACATTGGTATTGAAGGAACTAGATACTGTTCCGAAATATCACTTACTCGAACCGCCCTGACCGCGTAGCTCAGTTGGAAGAGCATTGGGCTAGTATTCCAAAGGTCGTAGGTTCGAATCCCACCGTGGCCGGGCATATTTTTCAAGCTCGCCCGGTGTGGATATGCACTCAGAGTAACATCGCAAACAATTATTATTCACCTGAGTACACAACACCAACACAGAAAAAAATTCATATTACTAGAACACATTGGTAATGAAGGAACTAGATACTGTTCCGAAATATCATCAGAGATTAAGTTGTTTAGTTACAACTTTCGATATTTTCGATATGCGGAAAACGAATATCGAATATCAATATTTTTGAAATATCGATATTTATTGAAAATATCGATATATCGCAACTGCCACCCACAGCAAAGTTTATATTTAGTATCCAATCAAAAATGTCGCAGAAGAAATTTAAATTTCACACAACGACAACAACAATCTAATATAAAATACTGTATATCATCAACAATAGTATTATCTAATTAGCACCAACCAATCAAATGACAAGATTAAAAAATCTTTTGTCTCACAGACCAATCAGATTTACAAACGAAATACGATTGTAAGGCATGGACTTTTGTTAAGGTTTGTATCAGGCCTATTTATTTATTTATAGGCCTGATCGCAGGTTAAGACCAGTAGAACCCCAGAACCAACCATACCGAAATGTCCAAGTACTATGATGTGAAGCTCAATGTACTGTAATACTGAAGGTCAACATGCTTGCAGTTCAATGATGAATAATTTCCATGCTTATACTGATGTATAATGCTGAATATCATTTGAATGTACTGAGAACTGCAGAAAATACAGAGAAAGTTCCCTATGTCTCCCTCTCAAAGTCTTAGTGTGCTGCACTGGAATCGCAGGGCCGCAGGTTCCATTGCAGCCAGATGGCCTTATTGTAGGTCCAGCTGAGAATTACAATATTGCACCTACAGGCCTTAAAAAATATTTTCCAGGGCCGTCTGACAAAATGTCCAGTGACGTTGAGTTTGGGTCGAACATATGTCCGATGATCTTCAGTTCAGTTTTGACTCGGAAATAAGTCTGAATGACACAAATGAATAAATGGTAAATGTTGTAAAGATAATAAATAATTTGTTTCTTTCATACTTATTTCCAAGCCAAAATTAATTTGCTTTCCAGAACAGCAGTGTTAAAAAAAGTCTTGGACAACATTAAGCCCGTTTTGCTCGCCGCCCGTTCACCATTTTGCTCGCCGCCCGGCGCTCGACTACGTTAAAACAACATTATTTTCCCGTTCACGTTTTATACAATAGTACTCTGATTTTCCATTTAACATACAAAAAAGCCTCTAGTCCTGGGCCAGGGTCATAGATATCTTATATACACTAGATAGTGCATCAATTATTCTGCAATTCAAAAATTGAAGCCGTGATTGCAGGTTCAGGGTATTCCCATGAAATGAGAAGATTGGTATGTTTTCTATTTCTTAAACAGGGAACTTAAATATTAAGTTAAACCTATTCCAAATACATTTTCAAACTATTCAAATGATGAAAGTTATTGTTGTTTTTAAAGCGTTTATTATCGAGTGGAAAACACTAAAACATTGCCGCTGTCTATTCAACCGCTGGAATATTCTTGGCTTCAATTTTACTAAAAGAGATGCGCTATCTAGTGTGTATAAGATATCTATGGCCAGGGTACATTTTGATTTACGTCGGACAAAGCTACAGTTCGGTCGGACACCAATTCACTTGGGTCGGACAAACAGTAAACCTCAGTTTCACTTTGGTCGAACAGAATGTCCGGTGGTTTACTCTCTACGTCGGACAATTTCATGAATGGGTCGGACAATGTCCGTGACCGACCGATATTTTAAGGCCTGCAGAAAAGAGAAGAAGGCTGGGAAATGAAGAAATGAAAGGAACGAGTCTTACTGTGTATCGTTGAATAGAATGATAAAGATGATAAATTTCAGCTTTGGTTTGGTATTGGTGAAACTTCCTCAACATCTCAGCGTCTGTTTTCCCGTCTAAAAGAAAAGAATTATTTTAAATGAAATGTTGGATGGCTCTATCAGTTATAAATTGTTCTGCCTGGATCGAGCCTAAAGGTCTAAATAGTCGAGCATGGTGCTCGCAGAAAATGAAAAACACCTGCAGGAAATCTAAATCTAAACTGCAGGAAACTTGTTGGGATGAAGATTTGAAAATTTAAAATTTGAAGGAAACCTTACAGGTAAACTACGTGAAGCTTTCCTCTTTTGAGTTTCTAAATTGATTGCAATTTTCCTCATTACTTTTGCAATTTAAAAAACTCCCTTGCAAATCCTTTGAGGAAATTTGCAATGTTG